GGTGTGTATTGGAAGCAGCTGGAACGCCATCGTTCTCACATTTTTTTTAGTGATGCACTTTACTTCGGAACCTTAACAGCTGTTATCTTGAATTACCGAATGTGGCTTCTCACCTTGAGATGGTTTTATCAGGTTATATTGCCTGTTCAGGGACAAGTGCAGTTCTTTCTGTAATGTTGATGCTGAATGGCAACACAATTCCATGACTGTAGCACTGCTTCTGCAAGATTCTTGTTCCTTTTTTGTGTATATTTCAGAAATGCTTCTCCCGCTCTTACATGTTATTTGTCTTTTAGGCTAATTCTTTCTCACTTTGAGGATAAACAGCTGCGGAAAGTCACATCTGGCATTATGGAAACGGAAGCTTGTTGTGACAACTGTAAGTCTGGGTAGGTGTCCTGTAAAATGATGAACGTGTCATTCTCGCAATTCTGCGCCAAGGTGACGATTAAACTTCAGTGGTGCGGCTTTTGGATCAGCATGGCTTCCTTTCTGAGTGCTAATGAGTGATTGTAAGTTCAGCCGCACAGTTCAGTGTTTTGGTAGCTTGTTTTGTTTGACGTTAAGATGCAGTGAGCGAGCTTTGCTTTATGCCGCTGTGGATGCTCAGGTTTGCTCTGTCCTCGCCTGTCAGGGCCACGCATGGCTTCAGCATGGAGGATTTGAAACCTCAGCAGCATGATTTCGGTAAGGAGGCCTACGACCTCATGAGTGCTGTGAGCGCCCTGAACGAGAGATTCGGCACGGCCGTCCCCATCCTGCTGCTGCGGGGCTCGGTGAGTCTGCCTGCCGACACCCCACCAGCGGTCCATCTCCACAGTGATGTGCCAGGACTCCTCTCAGCGTAATGATGCCGTTATTGTGCCGGCTCACCGCCCTGACACCGTGTTCTGCACACTGTGCCTCAGGCGTTGCATTTGTTTAATCTGTCAAAATGAAGTAGCTTTTTATCAGCTACGGAAGAAAAGTTTATTATTTTTATCCCTGAAAAACAGGAAGACTAAATAAATTATCTGCTCATTTTAGCACTAACACAGCAATGTGATGGAAAGTGTCTGATGTTTAGTTAGATGCCATCAGAGGTGGAAAGTCCCGGTCCAGAAAGTACAAATCCAGACCAAGATTTTGCTTCAACCAACCAGTTGAGTATAAAGAACTGGTTAGTTGAAACAAAATCCTGGTCTGGATTTGTACTTTCTGGACCAGAACTCTTCACCTCTGGATGCTGTGGTAGGGTAATGTCATCTATATTTATCCCTTGCTGGATCCCTTAGTTGTGCTACAGATATTTAGCTTCGCTAGCTCTTTACGCTACTCTGATACGACTTATTCCCCATCTTACAGCTTAGAGTATAATGTTCGAGAAACAACGTTATATTCCTTAGCTGGTTTGCTAACTTAGTATAATGTACTTTCATTTGTGTCTTATTTTGAATTCCTGGCTTTACTATAATGTATTCTATAATGTATTCTATTTTGAGAACACTCACATTGAGAATAGAGCTATCTATTCACCATTCTGGCCTTGTGTGATTGGTCAGTTTTATGCATGGAAAAACATGGCGCTGGGCACAAATCCCAGCACACTTCTGCTTCAGACAGATAACAGATCCATACACTCTATGGGTGGATATGCAGCACAAGATTAAAATATTTGTCATTTAAATTTTTATTCAAACTAAACATTCTGTAAATGTTTACCCATGTACACAGAAACTTATGAGCAGAGTGGCGGTGAGTCTCAAAGTCAACAGAGACATTTTGTGTTTTAACTTGTGGACTTCTTCTCGAACCCCTGACCCTTCGAGTGGAAATGTAAGATGTGTTCTGGGGCTGGGTGAGTGAGATTCACCATTCCCTCCAGGGCTCTCAGAGACTCCCAGACAGTTACCGCAAGCACCCCCTGTTTGGGGCTGGCAGGGACAGGCCGGAAGCCTGGTGGAAGGCCCTGACCAGGCAGCTCATCGGGGAAGGGTACCTGAAGGAGGCCACGGGCCACAGCAGGTTCTCCACGCTCTGTAAGCTCACCTCCCAGGTATGGCGAGTCCATAGCGCTTTCTGATCTCTTCTTCGTCGTGTCCGAGCGTCAGCTGCAGCTGAAATGACCTTTAACACCGATGCTTCCTTTGCATTTGCATGGTGGTGTGTGGCTCAGTGTGTGACTGGTATTGTTGTCACAACAATACCAGTCACTTCTCTATTGAGCAAAAGCCTTAACCCCTCGGAAAATTGCTCCGAGGTGCTGGATAAATGGCTGACCCTGCGCTCTGACCCCAAGCGTTGCTCTCACCTCTGTATGTGTGTTGTTTTTCATTTCACTGCTGGTGTACCACTACATTCATGCCTGCAACAAGTAAGTCTTAAACCTTGAATGTCTTAAAGAAGAGCATGATGGGATACGTGAAAAATAAAGCGTTCCAATGAACCTGTGCTTGTGTAAATGGCTAGTAAAGCATCATTTCATTTCATTTCATGTTCCTCTTCTTTCCATCGCTGAAGGGCAAAACGTGGCTGAGGACGGCGGAGAGTGCGGCCCGGAAAAGCCTCCTTCTTCAGCCCGAAGGCGATTTGATCTCCTTGGACTCCAGGCCAAGGTAAACGTCGATGCCTCCGCTGGGCATGCTCGCCAGGTGTTGGCCCTTTCGTGTTTGGCTTTGGACCAACCTCAGTTTCAAAAGAAGAACCCGAGAAATGTATGGGTGTAGGACAGCTGTCGGGAACATAGGGGACATCAAACAGAGAGAATGATTACACATATCTGAGGAGCTGAACTGCATTGTGATGTTTAAATCCCATTTGAAGTGTGATCTTAGTGATGTTAGCCGAGCTCGTGACTTTTTACTAATCTTAAGACTCAGCTTTTAATATATTATTTCAAAGAAACAGGCCACACACAGGACTTATATTCCCACACACACAGGTTGAAATTCCATTGAGGCTTGAATAGAGTGATACCGTATGAGATTCTCAAATGTGGCAAAATGCAGTCGCCACTAGTGGAGCGGGCCTCCAACCATCGCTGACATAAACCCTAGTCTGAGGCAGTTACCGGTCCTATTTAATTAACGTCTGGGCTTGTTTTTCCACATCCTCTGAAAACAGTCTCCTTGGAAAGGGTTCACATTTAAGCAGCTGCTTTCTCAGGCGAGTGTGAAAAACGCTAAATCCATAAGGCTTCAAGGCTCCTAGAAGTATCAGTGTGACTTGTGAAGTATTCTCAACTGTAAAACCGTGCTTTCACAACCTGCCTGGATCTCACTCCCTTCAATCTGTCTCGGAAAATGCATATTCATTTTCACGGGTTTAAAAATACATTTATATATAATTGAGAGATTTTCAGTCATCCATCCGCTTATTCAGTCATCATTCCGTGCATTCTGTCATCAGATGCTGGCTTCCGTTTATACCGCGCCTGACTATTCTTGGGCATTATTTAATTTTTCATGCCATCATACTGTTCATATATTGAACGGAAGGTATTTTGACTATTTTCCAAAGCAACGCAATTTATTCACAGAGTGAGGGTAGGGATTCTTGCAGTAAAAACTGACAGTGAAATCAATTTTCCAGATTGTACTTTTCAGGTCATAGGGAGTTACTGTATCGCCACATTCTTCCCCTGATTCACACATTATTTCACTAATTCCCTTGCTGGCTAGTTCTGACTACCCCAGTTAATTTATGGCAGTTTGCCCCTAGTGGCAGATCTCGTATTCTGCATTAAGCAACAAGGGCTTTGTGTGTTAGATGACTTAATGGTTGCCTGCATAAATCTTCAAGAATTCAAACGTGGATTTCTGCAGTCAAATATGTAAATATTTTTTAAAATAACAAAGTTTGACCCCCCGTGCCTTCCGCCATCATCAGCTTGCACATTCGTTTATCCATCCACACTTCTGTTACTGCTAGTCAGTGTTGGGCAGCGGTGAACCTGGAGTCTCTCCTGGGCGGCTCAGGACACTGCAGACCTGCAGAACACACGCTTACACCAGACATGCAGCGTTTCTCAATCTGCATGCAGACCGTGCTTTTGTTCTTGTGTATCTGGTTTTACGTCGTCTTCCACTGCCGAGAACCAGTACGGAGGGTGGTAAAAATCCCTGGATGATGTTCATGCCCAGCCTCAAATATCCAAGATACACTGGTTGCATCCTTGGCAAGCAAGACCAATCCCATGATTCATTGCGTCTCAAGTTCGTTCTTGGGAGGCAAGATAAGAAGACCGCTCTTGCAGAGACCACAAGTACGATCTTAGTGTTTTTGGTATTGAGAAACCCCATAGACACTCTATGGACAATCTAGAGACACCATTTGACATACTGCTGCTGTTTGGGCTGTCGGAGGACATGAGGGGGGAACATGCAAGCTTCATGCATCAGACCCCCCCCACTTTGGAGGTTTCAGTATATCCCTCTGTGCCTAAGCCTATGCTTAGCCAATGTTCAGTAATTCTGACTGCTGTTCATAGCTAGTTGTGGAAAATGGATGCATAAAGGTTGTTTCTGGGGTTTTTAAATACATTTTTCAAATTTTAATTTTCACATGGTCATAATATACAATTACTTGCAATGTCCCCAGTACAAGCAATTCATGAATTGTCTATTATCAAACAAACCATTGATCTTATAGCAAACAGCATGTTGAATTATATTTGTGTTCCTTATGCATTTATTATACTGAGTGCATTTTCGATCTGTTGCTGTAGGTCATTCCAGACCTCATCTGCGACAGCCTCTGTTCAGGTGAGTGTGACGGTGTTCAGGACTCACTGTTTGGATTATACATGTTCTAGGTGTTCCAGCAGGGGGGACGGGGTGAAGGCTTTGTTGTGAATACAAACTGCCTTTTTCAATGCGCGATGCATATCAACGTATATTTGCATTTTATCAGTGTCTAGTTGTCTGTCATTGAATCTGCATTTTCTCTCGGCCTGGTTAACGCCCTAACCCCTTCCTCCCCCCCTCCAGAAAGCTCAGCCAATCCTCTTCCCCAGCCCAGAAAGCAGTAAGGTCACGAGGGCCTCCAGTGCTTCAGTGTGCAGGTACTGAACCTGGACGTTGGTGTAATCAAGCTGGAAGTATCTGTGTGGTGCAAGCTCTGTTCACCCTAGCTGCCCTTGGTCTCTGGGGCTAATTTAACCCCATTCGATTCCTCCTGTAGGTCACAGCCTGCCCCCTCATATAAATCTCCCGTGAAAGTGACCAAACCTCCATGTCCTGCTGTCTCTCCCAGAGAACTAGAGCTACAGGTATGATAGGATGATGTATCTTTGACCACTCAAGTAATTAGAAGTGAGCAAACTTTGTCGGATTGCTTTAGGATGGATGTTTCATTTCGTAAACATTACTTCCACAGATTCTTAAGCCTTTCCATTAACCTCCACTGAAGAAGAACATTTTTGAATGCCACATTAGCTGCAGTCAGAGCAATTACGTTTGGCTGTAGGTCGTCTCAGTGGATTACTACTGACTTATCCCGTCTTTTTTAACTGGCCAGAAAATTACCAGTGAGGTAGTTACAACATGGTGAAATAAAATGGTGATTTTTACACCTGTTTCAGGACAAGTCAAATGAATGTCACTAAATTTAATTTAATTTAATTGAAATTAAATGTAATGTTAAAAATGGGTCTATAATGCCTAAATAAATTAGTCAGAGGCATCAGTTTAAATCAGTTTGCTTAAATCACATTTACAAGCTCTTGAAAGACTTCATCTGAGATCTGATAGACCGTATTCTACATTTCTTGAAGACCGTCGCTTCTCGCTGATCCCTGTCATTCCACTTTACACAGACATGGACGCTGCTGAAAATGCCACTTTCATAAGTGATTGCAGATTGAATTTGGTGACGCCGGCTTTAAATGGGCCTCGCGTCGGGGCTGACGGCGCTCAGTTCCTGTGGTGGGGGGAGATGACGAGGTCACAGGGATAAATGACCGAGTGGCAGACTGATCGGAGCGCTCAGCGTTCCCAAGCCTGATGTCTTTTCTGGGGAGTCTGTCAGAGATGTCACACGCATTTTCCCTGTGTAATTGGCATCACACGCTGCTGTTTCTGCAGCATGTTAATGACAGACGCTGCCAGAGGCAAGTCGTGAAGAATGTTTGTTTGAAATTATCCCTCCCATCTTGAAGGCGGAGCTTTACGGCAAACTCGTGACCGGACGTCAGAAACTGGCCAGTGCGAAGGACATTCCCCCAGCCATCCTGGCGACGAACAAGGTTCTCCTGGACATGGCTAAAGTCAGGTGAGATGCCTGCTGTCAGTAGCGGAAGGTGAAGTTACCTTCTGGCTGAAACCCTGGCCTGGTTTCTGATGTCTTTGTGTCGATGCTGTGTCTCAGCCTCTCCTGGGCCTTCTTAACAGAAATTCGCAGCTGATATCCTCATGTAAATGTTCGATATATGTTAATGTCAATGTTTATAGGTAAGCAAGAAGAGCATTGTGCTGACAACACAAAGGTTGTGGGTTCGAATCTCTGGGAGCATATAAATAATAACTCTTCCCTCTACTGTAAGTCATTTTTCATAAAAACGTCAGATATGTAAATATAGGTGAGCCACTGGATCTGTGGTCAGAGCCTGAATGGATCAGTGCATTCCAGTGCTGTACTGGGATCTTTCTGTCCAGGATCTGTGTGTGTGCATGTGGTCACTCTCATTCTCTACCAGTGCGTGTGCGCATGTGCGCGTGCGTGTGGGCGTGCGTCCATGCGTGCAGGCCGGCCTCACTCTGTGCCCGTGTGTGTGTGTGTGTGTGTGTAGGCCGTGCTCACTGGCCAGCCTGAGGCAGGTAGATGGCGTTTCTGAGGCCAAGTCCAGCATGCTGGTGCCACTGCTCGGAACCATCAGGGAGTTCTGCCAGGCCCACGGGCTGCAGGTAGGATAGTGTCGCAAGCAGCAGCCGCATGATGCGCATTTGGGTCGCTGTATAGCCGCCGGCTTTTGTAAATGATAACAAGGTCCTGCTCAGAACTGTCTGCCCCCCCCCCACACACACACTTGGCAGAGCCCCACCTCCCTCAGGTCTGCTTGTCTTTCCTTTTTATTTAGCTGAACATGAGACGCCGTGTGGTGCAGCAGCCCCTGAATAGAACTGAAGGCAGTATGGCAGTACTGTGATTACCCATGTACACAGTGAGCAGAGAGGCTCACTCCTGCATGGGGAATTAGGCTTCTGGACCCAGTGCTGTCTTCTGTTTGCTTTGTCTGTTAATGATTCAAGGGAGGGGGTGTAGTTCCCAATCATTTGATTTCTACAGACAGCTTCAGTCAGTCAGTGATTGCACATCATGCAGTCAGAGTGCTGCGCAGGTTGGTCGTCTGCTGCTCCAGCCTCCTCCTCTGTTCTCCTGTCCCCAGGCTGGTTTGTCCCCCGGCAGTGCGGCCCCCTCGGAGACAGCGGGCCCGGCCTCCGGTGTGGTGATTCCCCACCTTGCTGACAGCGTCGCTGTCACCTACAGGCTCTTCCAGGAGGAGAGGAAAAGTCTGGTGAGCCACACGCTCACACGTCACAGGACACTCCCCCAGAGGGTTAAAAATAAATAAATACATAGTTAGCGAGTAGCCAGGTGATCCTACCTAGCTATCTGGTTAGCAGAACATGCAGTTTCAGCATCTTCTAAATAAAGAATTCCTTTATTTGATATTTAGTGTAGTGACTGTTTGTGGCCAACAGGGGGCCCTACACAAATGTGGTTGTTCAGTTTGTGGGCCCGGTGTTGTTCAGTGTTTAAGCAAGCGTATCCAGCAGCTGGGGGAGGGGGGCGTGTCTTTTGGCTTTCTGAGACTGGTGTACAGACTGCTGCCTGCTGACCGTGCACACACGTGTGCGTATGTGTGTATGTATCCAGAGGCAGGTGTGTGACCAGCGCAGCCTCCCCGTAGCAGTGGTGGAGTCCCATCTCCTGCAGGCATTGCAGGCGGGCTGCCCGCTGGACACGGACAGGGCCGGCCTGTCTGCCCCGACGTTTGCCGCCATCTGCCGCATCATCGGCAACTCCGGTAGCCGTTTTCCCGCTTCATACCCCATTTATGCCGGTTTGTGCTTCGGCCGGAATCCAGCATTTCGAAATGCTTTCGCATCCCTCGTCTCCCATGGGCTTCACATATAGGAGCAGATCCAAAGGCCGGGCTGTCCGATCCCCCGTGTGGGGGCCGTCTCTAATGTCCCGCCATGTGCCGCAAATGCAAAACCAGCTACTGAGACTCTGGCTGGCAGTTAAATGGCCTGCATGAGCCCCCCAATCGGTGACTGCCCCCCAGAAGGAGCTGCACAGAGGCACAGAGCCTGATGCTCGCTCCCTCCAAGGCTAATCCCCCTCGTCAAGGTGTGAGCGGAGTCCTGGCACTTACATTTGAAGCTGATGTCTGTCGTCTAATTAACAGAAATAGTTCTCGGGTATAACACAGGCACTGAAATATCACTTGAAGGTATATTTGTCTGTTTTAAGACGGAACTTTTTTCTATACTTTGGACAGGCTTCTAAGGGATGATTTAGACTGGTTTCTCAGTCGCTGCAACATATTCCTTAGATAATCCAAGCAAAAGCTTCAAGATAATCATAAGACTGTCTGAAATTTCTTGCACATCCTGATGAATAAGCTTGGAAAAACATTTAATGTGACCCAAAATGGGGTGAATTTGTGGGCACCTCTGTTGCGCCCCCTATTGGTGACTGCACCACAGAGCTGAGTGCAGACGCTCCTCTACTTACGAATGAGTTGCGTTCCGAACGGCTGTTCGTAACTTGAAATGTTCGTAAGTTGTTATTCAACATCATTTTAAGGGTATACACAAGTACAAAGAACTGGGATGCTGGGAGTATGCACGCTACGCTGCTGCGCGGCGGGAGTAGCGGGCAGGAGTCGTACTAGGCGTAATTTGCGCACAGAAAAAAAATTGATGTTGTGGACAGGAAACGGGAGCCTAACGAACAGAATTTGGACTTACGGTCCTTTTCGTTCATATGTCTGAAAGTTCATAAGTAGAGGAGTATCTGTATTCACATTTGTACTGAAAGGCTGCATATGAATTGTGTAGCTACCATCTGCCGAAAGCAGTGATAAATTACCTGTAAAAATGATAGAACCAAAGAGAACCGAATGGCTTGCACCCAATTTGTCTTAACACACTCACTTTTGACAGTTTGTGTATGAATGTAAGCTTTGCACAATACTCCTTCTCCGCAGATCTCAGCAATATGAAAGCCATCCGAGCTCTGGTCCCTGAAGACATCAGCACCTTCCTCATCCAGCTGGCGGTGACAAGGCTGCAGCAGGAGGGGCCACCCTCACTACCCTCCCCTGTCAGTAACCCACGCAATGTTGAGACAGAAGAGGAGCTCGCCTGGATTGAACCCAAGGTCAGTCACCACCGGAAGGGCCTTTCCATCTGATCCGATGGGACGCCCCCTGGTGGCACTGGGCCCTAAGCAGCCTCTTAGTTCGCTTATACCCTGGGCCAGCCCTGTCTGCCGGGCTCACCTCTGTTTACCATGCAGCCAACCTCAAGCTGAGGCTGCATCTATGTCTGTGTCAATCAGCGTTTTGATATATTCAGTTTTTGCATGCATCTTCCATACCGTTTAGCCAGTGCATAGTCACAGAGAACTTGGAGCCTGTAACAGGAAATGTAGGGCACAAGTCAGGGGACGCCCTGGACATGATGACAAGAGAGGCCACAGGAAACACACACACACACACACACACACACGGGGAGAGCATGCTATCTCCTCTCTAACAAGGCAACAGATTCTAAATGTTAATTCAGATTGATTGTCAATCTGGCCAGTAAATGTCAGGCTCGCAAAGTATTTCAGAATATATGAATAAGGATAATGATGCATCTTTGCTAAACTGGCAGTTGATGATTTTGACCCTTTCCTGCTGCAGTCTGACTTCCACCAACAGAGGGCAGCAGTGCTACATATATATTTTTTTTATTTGCACACTTAGGGACATTTGAAACCATAACGAAATGCATGGTCCAAGTTAAGCAATAGTCCATTCTTTGTGGAATGCATTGCTTTTGGGATTTATATGGAAGTAAATCTGTGTCATCAAATTTGATTTTTATTTGCCACTGAATTTCTAACATTGAATATTTATGCATTGGAAATATGCATCGGAAATTCGATGGTTGGAATTCACATGCAAAAATATGAGGTTAAAAATATCACTTATACATCCAGGATACCAAAGCTAAGCAATCGAATCTGTGGCTGCGTTCGACTTGAGCTTAGGTCTGTCTACTGCTGACGTGACAAGAGTATCTGGCTGCGACTGCAGGGGTGGAGTATAAACTGACTGCAACCAAGTCGGACAACTTCTACTCCTCATAGCGTGCGAGACCTCACTGCAATGGCCGCACTGCCAGAAGGGTGTAGATAAATCTATACAAATATCACCTGCATGCACATTACTTCTTTTCCAATAACCAACTCCTGATCCAAACTGTTAGCAGTGGAAAAGAAATTAACTATTGTGTATAGTAGCCCTCTTTAAAAAGATAGCTGCCAGGAAAAAGATGCCAGTATGTCAATATACGGGGTAAGTTGTCGGATTTAAGGTAGTTTGGGCAAAATGTAAGTGAATGAATATGAAGCCGATTTAAACTGTGGTACCTTAAATCCGACAAGTTACCCCGATAAGCCAGTAACCCCGCTTCGTAGTACAGGCTACTAATGTCGTGTCCAATGTCTTTTTTTTTTTTTCTCCATCCAGCTTTTATGAAACACTGTTTGTTACCTCATGGCATATGTAAGGTGTATTACGTATTACAGTTCTGATATATACGATTATTAATAACACAGAATTGCACTATTTTTAAATTCGATTTTACTCTCGCTTCATACACACATATAAATACGGTGTGTGTGTGTGTGTGTGTGTGTGTGTGTATGTGTATGTGTATATATATATATTGTGATCCCCCACCTATCGCGGCAGTTACGTTCCACACCCATCAGCGAAAACTTTTTTATAGTTTAACCTTTAAAATACCACTCCCACATGCTTTAAACACATGTGAACTTATTAAAACGCACTTTGTAAACACATATGATATGTGGCTGTTGGGCTAAGGATATGAGTGACATAAAATATGAGAATTTCTGGTATCATTCGAATGTTTCTAGTAATGCATCATGTTGGTCTTAAATTTTACTCATAATGGTCTTAAAAGGTCTTAAAAAGGTCTTAAATTTAACTTACTGAAACCTGCAAGAACCCTGTTCAAGCATATTTAGCTGACATGGTAAGATCTCTCTGTTTATTCCTAATCCAAGGCAACCCTAAAACTGCCACTGCTCAGAGAAACCCAAGGAAAGGGTATTACAATCAGGCCCTACATCTGGCACCTGTCCTCTGCCAGATTACGGCTGTTGAGTTCGTTTCTTAAGGGCGGCACAGTCCAGATGCGCCCGAGAGTCTGAAGGGCGTCGTTAGGGACGGCGCCCTGTCCTACACGCTCCCAAAGCCCTGTTTTATGGGTAGATTAGGGTATGAGCTGTGCCTGTGGTGTGCGGACCCCTTAACTGATAATGGGGGGGGGGGGGGGGGGTGAGGGGGTCACTGCCCTTGAGAAAGACTCCTGGCTCTCAAGCTTGACAAATATCCTCTCCTCTTAATTGGCGAACCAACATGGCCACTCCCCCGTCAAAATGCCGAGGGTATGAAGCCGCACCATGTCAGTGCAGTTCTGTGTCCCACCCAGAATTCATTACCAGCCTTGATTGTGAACCCCAGCTCCAAGCCACAGTCCACATGCTGTACTCGGCGCCCTTTTAATTTATAACCCCAACCATACTTACATTTAGCAGATGTTTTTGTCCAAAGTGACGTATAAATGAGGCAGATAGCACTTTACAAACATACGGCTGTTGAGGAGTTGGCTAGGCATTAGTGCAGCTAGGCTGAGCTTCCAATGAATGGCCAGGTACAAGTGTAATCAGTATTGGAGCAGGAACTACACAACATTTATCAAACAAGGCATAATAAGACTATTCAATGACCGGAAGTGCAACATATGAACCATGCAGATGCTCCTCGCTTAAGATGTATTTGACTTGCGTTATTTCAACTTTAAGATGGTGCAGCTATGAACAGTAGGGTGGGGTATAAAAATCCAAATTTCCAATAGCAATTTCCCATAGTGCAGAGAAGTTGTCACTGGACCTCGTTATTAAACGTGCAAAATATCTTTGAAATAGGTTAATATTTTCAGGTTCCGCAACGCGATCAAAGTTTTCACCTGTCACATCAATGCGCAGATCCACGGTACGTATCATCCATATCATAACGCAATGTAAAATTGTTCCAATTTAATACAAGAACCTAACAATCGGTCAGTGACAATGAGTAAGTGGGAAACGACTCATTCAGAAATGTGGCACTCAGGAGCATGTTTACACTGACATACTGGCAATATACACTATCCATTATCTATACCACAGGAGCATGTTTACACTGACATACTGGCAATATACACTATCCATTATCTATACCACAGGAGCATGCTTACACTGACATACTGGCAATATACACTATCCATTATCTAATACCGCTTTATCCATCTGGGTCTTACCAAAAATATTGGGACACCCCTCCAAATCATTGAATTCAGGTGTTCCAATATTTTTGGTAATATAGTGTATCTAACCATTTTAACTGTCATGCTTAATACTTTTCATTTTGGTGGCACTGAAGAACAGTTTTACATTGTGTTATGATATGGATGATACGTAGCGTGGATCTGCGCATTGATGTGACAGGTAATGCATTAATCGTAATGCACGTAGAGCCGCAGAGCGATGTAATGTATGGGTATGGCTGACACCCAGTAAAAATCTGTGTTACCTGAACGTTGATATTTTGTAGTGATTATCATGTTGTGAAAGTGCACAAACACAACACCGATGAGTATAGATAATGGATCGTGTATATTGCCCATTTATGTGACAGGTGAAAACTTCGATCGCGTTGCGGAACCTGAAAATATTAACCTATTTCAAAGATATTTTACACGTTTAATAACGAGGTCCAGTGACAACTTTTCCGCACTATTGGAAATTGCTATTGGAAATTTTGATTTTTTCACCCCACCCTAATGAACAGTCAGTAAGTCATCAAATTTTGAATTTTGTTCTGTTCCCAGGCTAGCGATACGCGGTACCATACTTTATATACTGTTGCTGGGCGATGGCAGCAGCCACCCAGCCACGCTTCCAGTCTTTGCATGATTGTAATTTTTTTTTTTACCAACCATATCAGATCTATGATGAAATCGTATTCAAGTTACAATATTTTCAGTTTACGATGGGTTCATCGGAATGAAACCCCATCGTAAGTCGAGGAGCATCTATACTCCCAGCAATCACTGCTGAGCCCTAGAACCAGGCCATTAACCCCAAAAAATGCTCCGGCGGTGCCATATAAATGGACCGGCCCCGCGCTCGGAGCCCAAGCATCACTCTCAGCTGTGACTGTGTGTTTCATAGGGGAGCAAGATGAGTTGTCCAACCCAAAAAATCCCTATGTGTGCTAAAATAAAGTATTATTATTACTATTTAAATAGCTTTAATTCATTCTTAAGGGCAAACCGGTTACGAGGGAAACGCATCTGGGGGAATCTGCTAAATCACCCAAGGGAGCGGACCCAGACGAGGCGGCCATGAGCGACGATGAGCTTTTCTATCAGATCTCCATGCCCGAGGTAATCCAGAGGCCTACAGAACCTCAGTTCTCCAAGCCACACCATCTCCGTAGATCAGCCGTATTTCATGGATCCTTTCATTGGACAAGAAGATCGGATTTACTGCCATCCTGCTCTAATCCTGCTCATCAGAGAAGGCATTTGTACTGAATGTTTCTTTAAAACAGGGATGTGCACATCTATGTCAGGATTACTGCCTGCTTGCTGAAGGTTAACAGGAAGTACATGAGTTTTTTTTTTAAAGCTTTTTTTTTCAGAATCAGGTAAAACCAAAGGTTTAGATGAAATCTTGCAGCTTTGTACCTGCTGCCTTTATTAATGTATAAAGGAGCATTTCACTCCTCAGCTATTGACTGTTCATCACCCGGCAACATCCACTTTATCTAGCAGGAAGCCAGATATTACATGCACTGTACACACACAGCCTGGATGTTGTTTTCCCAGAGATTTTGCCCTCTGACACCACCTGCTTTAGTCTAGTTTGCTAGTGGAGGGTGAATATGTTTCTCTGAATCATCACTGCTTTCTAGTCCTGGTGCATGCCGGTTGTATTTATTATTGATCAGTATGGTTTGGTTGTGGTTACCCTTTAAGGATTCTAGTTTTGACCTTAAATGTAGGGGCTACTTTACATTAGGTGCCTAAATTTCACATTCTGTTGTGCGAGTAGATTTCGTTGGTTGTGAAGGTTTTGTCAGTTAAGAAGCTGAAATTCACATGGCAAAGCCTATGTCATTTGCATCAGAAGAAACCAAAAAAAATTCTTGAATGTTCAAGTGGACGCGATTTAAAAAAAAAAAAAAGGTTTTCCTTTTTCAGGAGGCTGATCTCCAAGCTAGTGACGTGCCTTGCAGCTCGAAGGATGTTCCTGCCCCTAAACCCGCGTTACGGACCACAGGGATCGAATTGGCATCCTGGAACCAGTCCCAGCTGGACCAAGACACTAAGGAATTGTTCTCTGATTTTCCTGTAAAGGTATTCATGGAAAAGGTTGTTTTGCAACCTGTTAACATTTAATGTATTTAGCAGATGCTTTAATCCAAAGCCATGTACAATCGAGAAAGCGGGGTTAGACAGTCCCTGCAACAATTGGGGGCTAAGGGCCTCACGCAGGGGTCCAACTGTGAACCTGCTCTGCCGACCCTGGGATTTGAACTGATAATCTAAATACAGGCAGAGGGTCTTAACTCACTGAGCTACACACCACGTGTGTACTGAACTTTCAACGCAGATTTGAATTTGTCATGTCATCTAGTCACTGTGTAAATGAAGCATGTAAAGTATAGTCAGTGAGTAAATCGTGAATCTAAACAAAGATGCGGTTTCTCAGCGTAAGGTAATCTGGATGTGACACTTTTTTTTTTTTTCCTCTTTCAGGAACTGGACCACAAAGCTGATGAAGAACCTTCTGGTACAGCGCTGAAACCTGTAATACGCTCCACGGGGTTGGAGGAAGCGGCAAGGGACCAGCCACGACTCAAGCAAGACACTCAGCCGCAGCCCAGCAAGTCTCCGTCAGTGGTATGTGTACAAGAAATGAACGGCTTTACAGCCCAGTGAATAACTATGGATTTCGATAAGTAATAGTCTATAGTGCCTATATAGTACATACAGGAAAGATGTGTGACAAGGTGGTTTGATAAAGCTTAGTGATGCAAGAAAATGCTATACAAATCTTCAAGTAATCACTTTGATTATTATGTTAATTTAAAAGTATTCACAGCGTAATGTGTTCTGGTAATTAAAAAAATATCTGGAGATTTTGTGCTATCTTGCATGTCCCCAGAAACTGTAGCAAAACTCTGAAAATAGTATTTCATTGACAGAAATACCATGTCAGTGCTAACAGTGTATCTTTTTTTGTTGTTAAATGCTTTTATCTGGGTTCACATTCCTAACAGAGGCTTGGGAACATAATGATCACATGAACTTCCACTGGGCTTCCCTGGTTTTACCGTAACCAATGTGAACACAGTTACTTTAGGACATACTAGCTATCCTAATTTTAGCCTGACTACCTTCCTGGATGACTAATGCATCCGACTTCTGCTAGCGCTGACAGATCAGGGGGAGAGAGATGTTGGTTCATCACAGCAGACTGTAGGCTTCACTGTTAGAGTTGCTGTTATGTATTAAGGTCTGACCAAAAGCTTTAAGTAATACATGAGGAGAGAGTTTAGATGCTACATGCTGAAGGGTCCTGCTTTTACAATGAGCGATGCTGGAAGGAAGGCGTAGACAGATGGATTTAACAATGGAGCACATGAATGGGAGGAGGTCACCCGATGGCCTGGAGAAGCTGGCAGGTCAAAGGGCCAGGGGGTTGGGGGAGGGAATGTAGGCTGTCAGGCTGGAGCTGAGGCGAGGTCTTGATGAGGGGCGGAGTCTGGATGTGGGGCGGGGTCTTGATGTGCAGTGGCATCTGGATGTGGGGTGGGGTCTTGATGTGCAGTGGCATCTGGATGTGGGGTGGGGTCTTGATGTGCAGTGGCATCTGGATGTGGGGCGGGGTCTTGATGTGCAGTGGCATCTGCATGTGGGGTGGGGTCTTGATGTGCAGTGGCATCTGGATGTGGGGCGGGGTCTTGATGTGCAGTGGCATCTGGATGTGGGGCGGGGTCTTGATGTGCAGTGGCACCTGGATGTGGGGCGGGGTCTTGATGTGTGGTGGCATCTGGATGTGGGGTGGGGTCTGTAGATTAGGCGGGGTCTAAATGTTAGGCGGAGTCTGGAATTGACATGGCTGGTGTGAAGCTTTGGGGAAACAGCCTGAAACACCGAGGCATTTGAGGACGGAGTTTAGAGGGCGAGTAAAGAATGTTCTCTGGGCTTCGTTATTATAAGCTTTGGCCTTTGACTGGTATAAGGAAACCTGAACTGGGGTTCAGTCGTCCCCCTTACTTTTTGGAGGATGGAACAGTGAAGAACTGGCTGGAACTTGCCCAGATTTCATAGTGGAGAGACCAAAAATCTGTGGTCATTTGTGAAGGACACAGCTGGGGCGTATCTGAGATGCTTTAAAATTCTTTACTGGAAATGTGCTGTGCTTGGCCGGCACAAAGGTCTTGCACATGGTTCTGCTTGTTGGGGGGGGGGTGGGCCAGCTGTCAGGCCGAAGCATGTGTCAGGATGAACGGGGGTCAGATGCAAGCTAGCCCCCCGGCTGGACCACAGCACTTATCTCGTTAGGCAGAGCGCCACACGGTGATCGATCCCCAAACAGGATTAGACTTAGCCAGAGGTCGTGACTTCCACCTCCTCAGAGGAACATATAATGATTCACTTTGCATGGGGTCTTTTTCTCATGTTGCCCCATTCAGAAAAGTCAGTGTCTGGGTCTAGTCTGTAATTTCACATCATGCAAAGCTCCACATGAATTATGCATGTCATTTTTGGAAGCGGTAATAGATGATTTGCGTGTGGCAGGATTTCTCCGTGACGCATTGCCCCATCTCCCCCCATACCTGCTGTATTTCTCAATGGCTGCTCCCCCTCCCATTACGGATTTTATTTCTTTAATAAGCGATGAGCTAAGAATAACCGACGGGATGGAACAGCTAGAGCTGCAGCTGCACAGCTAGTCTGGAAACGATGAGATATTTTATTGCATCGTCATATTTCTACGGGTTTTCACCTAATGGATTTATAATTTTCATAACCTCCTACTAGGAACGATAAAAATTATATATGTTACAGTTGTAATCTATAGCAAATATTCAATATCAAAGATAAATTGTCTTAAGCACTACACTTAATTGTTCTGAATTCTGAGTCTCCGGTAAAAAATTATGATCTACAGTACTTGAAACCGTAGTTCTTTATAGATCAGATTTGTTAGGAAAAACTAAAATTACTATAAACATAAAGGTATGCTGTTATTTAATAATTGCTGATTGTTTATTCAAAACTTAATAAATATGCTTCATTGCATTGAAGTTCAAGCTCAAAATCTATCATTTTTCACAATGTAGCTTGTTTTGAATGTACAGAAAAATGTATTGATCAGAATGAAAAATTGATTTTTCTGTTATCATTGCATTTCCTGAGTCGTCATCCTGGTTTATTGTTTTTTTTTAGTCAATCTTCCATATTCTTAAAAGCTATACTATACAAAAGGATACTATGTTCTCAGAGGATCGTTTGAGTTTGACACCAAATTGTCTTCTGTTCTCCCCATTACAAACTGCCGTAACGCTGAGGAATTCTATATTAAAGCTTCTTAAATCAGACTACGTCATGCTATACTCCTGCACATATTATTCCTCAACTTCCTGTTCGCGGGGAGCTGAAGATCAATATATGTGCATTAGTTTCTTAACTAATTTAACTGATAACCACAGCAATCACTCTCAGAATCGCTCAGTCAAAAGATGTCAGAAAAGAATTAGCACCAGATAGGTTGTTTTTTTTGCCGCTCCAATCACTCATGCCCAGGAAATGAAATTTGGTTGGCCTAGATAAATGGCTTATGTGGAAGGTGATCCAATGAAGGCGACCAGAGTTTCCTGTGTTGATGTGTATTTGTATAAGGATTGGACTTGGGTATTGATGACTCCGGTCAAATCCCTTAGGTCAAAGCCTCCGGTAAAAAAAGACCAGTGAAGATGAAATATTAACGGAATTAAGGTTTATCTTAAGGAATCTTTAAGGTCCTTAACTGTTAACCAGCTGCCAAAGCTTGGGCTTTGCCACGACATGCTATGCAATCCTGACACATGGATGTTGGAGTCGAATGGGTGGGAGAGACATGAGGGAGGAGCTGATATTGCAGTTTGCTTGTACATTCAACGTGGTGGCAGAATGTATGAATGTTTGTGAACAAGCGGCTTGGCAGAGGGACAAAACTCGAGCAGAACGATGCTGCTAATGTCCACGTGTACCAGTGGTGAGCCTGGTACAAGAACTCTGTAAAATCTGTAAATCGCCAAAGTTGAGAAAAACAATGAAATATCATACTTTTTGATACCCTTGATGAAAATTTTCTCAGTCATGAGAAACTAACGTTGTTTTCTCATGATAAAGGAGTGATTTTCTCATGATCTCGAAGGCACGTGTTTTAAAAGGACTGTAGCTCATATACAGTTCAACGTAAAGTTAACATTTCATGCTTTGACATTATAGCCATTGTTTCAGTTCCGATCCATCTGCAGGGTGCCTGTGAAGGTTAGCAGAGTGCCATTTGCTGCTGTTTTTCCCATCTTGGTCTTTTACTCTTGCACAAAAGCCCACACATTGCCTGCTTTATCAAATTCTGCTTACAATAAATGCTATTTTTCAATTGGACATAGATCATACTTGAGGTTTGCTTTATTTATACATGTACTATATTTTTTGTCCAAAATACATACGGGGGCTGCATGAGCTAGAAGTTAGAATTTATTTAGTATTTTATTATGCTACATAGCTTATCATGGCTTATGCTTCTCTATGTGGCACAGAGCCACATATTAAAGTTTGGGTTTGAAAAGGGCCTCGCCCACCTCACCCCTCCAGGCCGAGGAATTTGTCTACTGCCAATCAGACACTCTCAGCCAATTACAAAAATCCCCGCCCACTCCCCAGCAAATTTACAAAAGGGGCTAAGTTAAACCAGCAGAGCTAAATAATCTAGCTCCTCCAAAGCATTAAATCAGTGGCACCACTACTGACATGTACTTTAAATGCAAGCAGTGTGACTTTCAGCTGTATCTCGTAAGATCGTTCCACTAAGAGCTTGTTCTGTCCATCAGAAGGCCTAATGTAATTGTTTTCCGTCCTACAGGATAAGCATGACAATTTCACTTCCATTTGCTGCCTTTGATGGGGCGGATTTTTCACGGTCAGCTTACATGTGCCGGTTATCTAGTAAAGACTGGTTTGAGGTGACCGGACCATCATCTGCTCTTTCTCACAGTTCGTGTTGAACTGTAGAAATGTTTTTGGTTGATGAGGGTCTTTATACGGAGTGTTCATTTAAAAAATGCACACCTGTGTCCTGCCACCACAAAGCAGGTCCCAGATGGACCGTTTATCAGAACTAGACATTTTATTAATTTAGCAGCTGCTTTTATCCAAAGAAACATGCATTTTTTTTGTGAAATCAGGGTCAGACGGTCCCCGTACTACATGGAGGTTATGGGCCTTGTTCAGGGGCCCAACAGTAAAATCACATTGCTGGCTCTGGGATTTGAACCCGTGACCTTCTGATCACAGCCATAGCACCAAACACGCTGAGCCAATCCCCACCCTGGCATAAATCTTATGAGGAGCTCACGTGGTCCAGCACAATTTACGCACATCATACATTCATCGTCAGTATTGTCCCCAAGCATCTGACTCCTTCAGCCGTCACCCTGTCAAATTTCGTTTTTGCTCCTATCAGCATTTGGGAAATGCTGTACTCGTTGTTGCATATTCATCTGGGCCTTCCTAAGGATCACAATTTGTTATTTTCCCTAAGTTAATTAGGGGTCATGCTATGCGTGTTAAAATGCTCAATACCAGGCATCACTTCCAACATTATGGAAAATCAGACACCTTTTGAAAAAATGGAAAGAAAAAACTGAATTTCATTATTAGTAGTGGTAGTAAGCTGTAGTCCTTCATATTTGTCTTGGCTTTTTTGTAAGAATACTTGCAACATATAACATACCATTGAGAATCCAGAAGGTGGAACATCCTGGAGAGGTTTCCTCTATATGGTTGCCAGGAGTTGACATTGACCTGATTGCACATAAACAATCAGAATCCCTGGCCTTGATTACCATGTGCATACCATGTACATTTTTTTTCTTGATACTTATTTTTAAAGCTCTTTATGCTTGTCGTTTACAGCTTCTGTGCAGAGCAGATTGCTTTCTGTATAAACACACTGAAGGTGTGTGAATCTCCCAGCTGCAATCTTTAAATGTGGTGACAGGCAGGAGCTGGCTGAGTGCTTCAGCCTTGCTGCCTGACTCCTCGAACCCTGTGCCGGGACACGACCTGCCTGCCTTCCTGCTGAATGGGTTTCTCAGAGGGTCAAAGGAGTTACTGTAATTCTTATGAAACTCATTATGCTGTCTTATTGTCACACAACTGAGTGGGAAAAGATAACTAATTTACCCCACAGCTGATTTCTGCTTAAGACTTAATTTCAATATTTATACACTGTTTTCAACAATTGATTGTTTAGAAAAGAATCCAGTGTTTTCTTTGAAGCAAAAGCAATGAAGATATTTCAATTTTATCTTTCATGTGTGATTTATTTCCACAGAGAGCGAGTCAGCCCTCAAAGAGGAAGCTGCCAGACTGGTGCTCACAGAGGGCATGCGTTTCCTCTGCCGCTGGCGTGAAGCAGTCTAAAAAGAAAAAGGGACTCTTCATGTAAATGTCCGGCCCATCACAACACTCCTCACCTGGGGTGAAATTAAGTAAAGAATCACTTTTGCATGAATATGGAGCAGTATGCCAGTTAATGGGGGGTGCAGTCTTAGCTGCTATCCCAGCCTTCTGAGCCTAAACACACCTTTTCTTTCATGGGTACGCGATGGGGAAAAATGTAGCACTAATGAAAGTTTGTACATATGTTTCAATATTTCTGTTAAAATACATAAATAAACAAAAAGTTTGAATTACTGTTAATAGTTGTTTTTGATAACAGACTGTTTTCGAAGCCAGATTTCTGTCAAGTTATACTGTTAGTGACGCGAGCATTTTTGTCATTTGGAAGTACATTTTAATAAACATTTTTGTATTTATTAAAGTTGGTTTTCCCTCTGTGAGATAGATAAACATCAGGATTTGAGGGTTGACAGGGAGAATGTTGTGGGTATATGTGGAGGCCTGGTTAACTTATGGCCATTATATATTATATCCTTTTCTATATTCTTAACTCTTTCTTAGCCACACAAATATGTACACACTTTGCAGGCAGTTTATCAGAGCTCTGCACCTCCTTGCCGACGCAAACGGGCTGCCTGGAATCATGTGGCTGCAGCTCCATGCCTACAAACGCAGACAGGCCCTGGAGTTCGGCTAAGTGGGTGGCTGCTCTAAGGCCCCGTGGGCCGGCCGTGGCTGTCAGGACTGAGCGTGGCGCTGCCAGGACCTTAGAAGCAGCCTTCCGGGGATTTTCACAAGCTACATGAACAAGATACATTCAGTGGCATTTTTATGGTGAAAAACACTTTGTTAGAGAGATTAGTGGAGAATGGCCAGACTGGTGTGCAGAAGGATTTACCCTTGAAGTGGTTATGGAGGCAAAAGTGGGTCCAATCTGGCTTAGCAAGGTGTACCTAATAAAAACTCAGAAAAAACCCTTCAGAAAAAAAAATCACTTTTTGAAGAATCCTTTCCTAAATTGACTTTTAGGAGCCTTGGTTGGGGAAGCTTGCAGACTCACAGGAGAGGTGATATGCTTATGCCCGCGTGCTTTTGCAAAGTGCTGATGCTGTTTCACTGTGTCAGCTGCACTGTTGGAGCATGCAGGGCTCACACCTGACCTACATGTGACTCGCCGCTCTTTGTCGGGCACAGAAAAGTCAGGCCAGTGTCTCCTGATAACCACACATGGACATTTACAATAGAGCTGTCCAGGCCTTCCATGCCTGAGTAGGCGTGTGCAGATTTTTTTTCCTTGACTGCTGAGAAATTTAAGATTGCTGTTAAGAAATCCAGATGAGAGAACATTGCTAAGGATGAGATGAGAATTAAGTCAAAGTTTTGAGTTTTTATTTTTTAACTGTGTGACTGCTTTCCTGTTTTGGTTTACCAGCGATTTCTGTGAAGTGCCATCAGTCGTCATAATGCCGTTGGCCTTCATTTCCGCATCTTCTCTGTCGATGTCATCTTGCTGGCCCGATAATTTGGCTGCATTGTGCTGGCAGTGAATGTGTGGAGAAAGATGCACTTTTACCGCAAAACCAGAATAAAAGCTGAATCGTTTTTCCGGAAAAAGCAGACAGCTTGCAGATTAACGAGGCCGTCCGGCGTACCCTACCTGCCTCTTGTATCTCCTCCTCCATGCAGGTTACTCTCTATCCAGCATCCCTTTTTTGACGAGCTTTGCAGATGAGGTCCTCAGTTATATGGTATACTTTACTGATTCCCATGGCGAATCTGCCTTTTTGTTTATCCCTTCTCACTCTCCGTGAGACATATATATGGGTGAGAGTTGGCTTGCGGGTTACAGCATAGCATGTAGTTTTCTGGGAACAATTGGTGGTTAAGGGTCTTGCTCGGCAGTCTTCCAATTACGGGCATACAGTCCTAACCCACTGAACCCCACCCCACCAGTTGTGATTACATCATCACCGACAAGGGTTGCTGGCGTGGGACCTTCGTAAGGACAAGGCAGTGGTGACTGAAAGACGCTTCTCTTTAGCAAATTTAGCATCTGTCAAAAGCGATGTACAAGTGATGCGGATAATATATCACATGTATGCAGCTGTCAAGGGGCCAACTTGCTTGCTAAGGCTGAGCTTTCATCGTTTTCGTAACTGTCCAGGATGAGGTTCATGCTGCAGAAACATGGTGGTCTGCGTCAGGGCTGATATTGGGAGTGGTCTGTGGCTCCATGGGTAAGACTGCTGTGCCTGTGTCCAGGTCACTGGTACGAATGCTGGGGTAGCAGACTGATGCCACTGTTTGGGCCCCATTTACTCCAGAGGTGCCGTATGCGGGCTGGCTCTGAGCTGTCACCCCAAAGCTTACTCTCACCTCTCTATGTGTCTGTCTCTCACAGAGAGCAAGATAAGGGAGGGAAAAAGAATTTCCCTATGAGAATCAATAAATATCACTATTCCGCATCAACTGGGGTCAGTTATGGAATAAAAGCACTAATATGAAGGACACTTACACGTCTGCATGCTGTGCATTTTGTGCTTTTGGACTTGTCATTTCATTGCTATTCCTCCGTCCTTTATGGTTCATTAACTCTCACTCCAGCCCACTGTATATATTAATGTGCTGTACAGCATCAGATCCTTGGAAGCTCAAGGGAAGCCCATCCTGTTTGATTGTACAAAAAGGAAACACCTGTTCGGTATTTTATACATATGTGCTACCTTGACAGAATGTGTGTTTTTACAGCAACTCTTTTTTTTTCACAGCAAAGCAGCAACATTCACCAGCTATCTTCCGATTCCACCTGAATTTGATGGATAGAGTCGGGATTGTGTATAAATCAGCCGCAGTACATTCTGCACCTTTCCGAGCACGTGCTTGTAAACGGTCTGGTGTCTTCACCGCCTACGGAAGCAGTTCACATTTATTTAAAGAAAAAAAAAAGCTTTTATCAACAAAGTCCCTTTTTATTTGTATTTGAAGCTGAAGCCATAATCAATAGAACAAACCCTTACTGAGAGAGGCACAGTTAATAGCAGGTTTTGCCACGCGATGGAACGCCAGCCATTAAATTACCACACTGACGCTCCCAGCTAAGCTGCGAGATAAATATCCAGGGTTTGTTTGCTGCTCTCCAGTCTGCATTCTGCTTTGGAATTTCAAGCTGGTTGGACTGTTGACAGACAGCTGCCTGGACCGTTAAGTCACACCTGCTGCACACAAGTAAAGACGGCAGCCGAGGCCTCGAGTCCGTTGGCTGCCCGCGAGCAGAGCCAGGAGTGGCCGTCTGGCCAGAGCACGATTGGCTTGAGCCATTAGCTGTACTGTGAGCTGTTATTCACTGTCGTACTTTGCCTGACTTGTATTAAATTGGAAGCCGCAGACCTCAAGAAAGGTCACAAAAGTTTAACTACTGCAACTTTACATATCTATCAGTGGTTAATGGTTCGTATAATTAAGTTAATCTTTCCTTATAAGTTCAATGTCGGGTTGATGTCTCAGTCTTGAAATGTGGGACTGTGGTCAGCTCTACACTTGAGTATAGTGTAATTTTAGTGTGGCATCCTCGCGAGGGACTGAACGACTGCCTTCTCGAAAACGAAACTCCTGTTTCTGAGATATGCTGCCTTCAAGGTACATTACTAGGCTTTAAAACTTCACCTAGAGCATACATATAACTTTTTATGGTGCATGTTAATGTCAGTGTGTCCACAGACATCACTGATATTCCCAAAAGGAGCTACGATTATATTACAGTGCATGCAAAATATGCTTGTGTGGTGTAACTAAAATATTACCTTAAAAGTAATTTTCCTAAAGTAGAAAGCAGAATACAGTATCAAATGTCCGCCTCATATATAATTAAATATAAAACTCTGGTTACCTCATTTAGGCTAAGAGGTGAATAATATATATATCCCACTATCAAAGGACTGATTTTGACATGATTTTTTTTGTATACACTACAGACTCTTGCTTTCATCTTTTTGGTTATTGTTCTGCAAAACTGTCCACATGGTTTTTCATGTAAACATTGTGTGCGTTTCAATTGAAGTCCCATACGGTACCCTGGTGTACTATAAAATCAGTCAGTTTGTATGTAAATATGTTATGGTACTCTGATGTAAAACACAGATGACAGTTAAAATAATGTTTCAGTGAATAGAATTAACTTACTTTTGGAATTGCTTGGGTGCTTGTTCTGCATTCTGTATTTTACATTAGACAGTTGAAGGGGGTGATTGAAGAATGGGATTGTAGTATATGTTACAAATTGCAGACCCTCTGCAGTGCCAGTCAGGATGTTCCACTGTTGTTTCAAGGGCAGGATCACCTTCTGAGCGTGATGGATTATCACTGCATAGGCAGGAAAGCAGTGGGGATCCCCATTGAACTTTCTCACCCATGCAATGAAGTATGAATGAAAAATAAATGTAGCACTAAGCCTTCTTGAACCCCAGCAATGTCACCAACCTTCTACATTAAAAGAGCCTTCAACATATAAAGAGACTGCTACCTAAATTAATAGCAAACTAGATTGTCCATTTTTTGCAATGCTTTTTGATTAGCTCTGGGGGGAAAAAAAGATATTTATTGCTTGCTGTAAGATTTGGGAAAGCATTTAAGGACTGAAAAACACTCCTTTCCGAGGGAGGGAATTGATTTCTACTTGAAGTCGCTGCCTCTAAGCATTCTGTCTATATCTCTGAATGTCGGAGGTTTGTCTGAGTGCTGTATGTACAGTATGAATAAACCAGCAGTCGAGTGAGATTTCCGATGCGGAAAATGAATGAGATGGGCTGCCCTCAGAAATGCAAGTATTTACCAAAACAGTAACACTGCATCTAACAATTGGCATTCAGCAGTGGATAGTGATTGCACAATACTGATAAATACCTGATGGAGATCCAAAGATAAGCCAGAATGACTCATTGACCTCTACCTTCTTAACAAGATACTGACCTCAGAATAGTGACCTACTGGATGTTTGCAAACAGACATTTCACATACAAAGAGCTGATCTGATAGAATGGACCTGTTATGGTGATGACAGAGTGCCAACCTCAGCGATGTGCCAGGGCTCTGTCTGTAATGTCTTTTGAGACAGACGTCCACACAGCTTCCATCTACGCATGTATCCATCCATCTTCTAACCACTTACCCTGGTCGGGGTCATAGAAGAATGACACGTAATTCCCAGGCAGTTCATAGCACAAGGCCGAGAAAGAGTTTGTGGCAATAGCAAAAACATTGGGTGAATTAACTCATTTATTAAATAATACCTTTCACCACTTAATCCTCTAATGCAAGGTAGTACAACCTCAGCTTGGCACCACATCCAGCATAAAAATCTATTGTTTGGGAAATGTATTTGAAGAGAAATACGTGAGATTACTTGGTGAGCTGTGTTCTGCACGG